TGTTGTTGAATTGTACACTTGAAACTATTGGATTTTGTTGATCAATGTCACTCCAATAAAATTTAATAATAAAAAATAAAATAATTAAAGTGCAGATGAATTTAGTGGATAGATATGAGACATATTTAGAATCTAAAATTAACAATATATGCAGGTATTTTAGAAATGTGTATTAAAGAAAAGTTTGGGATGATATGAAATAATATTAAACTTAGGAATTATTTTAAGAACATTAGTGCCATCAACCCCCAGAAAGATTATTGATTGTGTATTAAATTCATCCATCAGAAGAACTGTGATGCTTTTTGGAAAAATATTTTCAAATTTGAGAATGACTGAAAGTCCAAACAATGAAGTCATGACCTATTAAAATGACCAAAGAAAATATTCTATACTGTAGCACTGAGCTTTTAAAAGAAGACAGTAATATAGTCAATATAGTCATTAAATAGTCATATATTGAAATGATTTTTAGTATGCTTATCTCTTTTCCTGATTATTGATAGCCATAGTAAAAGTTAGATCTATGTCAAGTATGTGCTGAAAGTTTAAGGGTACAGGGCAATAGGAAGCACTGAAGCTGTTGACACTAAAAGCAGCTCATAGAACCTATGGGTCTTTGTGTGCTTATCCAGGGAGAGAGAGTTCTACTGAATGATTTCCACTGGAGTGTGTCCAAGAAAAAATTATGAGCCAGTTATAAATCAATAGTCCAAACAAAAATGCTCAGTACATAAACTGTGATAAGAAACAATGGTTAGAGGTGGAGAATCAGACACAAACACAAATATGAAGACAGAATAAAAAACTAACACCTGGATTTCTCTCTGAGCAAAGAGCAATGATACAGTGAAAAGTAAATATATATATGTATTTTTTACAAGGGCTTAACAAGTTACCATCGGGCTGTGCCATATCCTCACAGATGCCTGGTCACAGATTTCTGAGAAAAAACACATGAAACTAAAAATGTCGATACTTCCTTCCTTCAAATGCACCTGGAGATTCATCGCCCTTGTCAAATTCTAAGATCAAGTCTAACAAATCATCTCTAAGAAAGAAGAAGCTTTGTATCAGTGTATACATGTGCATGTATGTTTGTATGTGTGCATGCAAATTAATGCACACATGTATAACAACAAACAAAAATAATTTTGCGATCATTATTCTCTACTAATAAATTCTAATTGTAAAATTTTTCATTATTCTCATAATAACATTAATGAAGAGAAATTAGTTAAGTTTAGTTTTAAATTGGCATGTCTCGATGTCCTTTAAAATACCCTCTAGCCTGAGTTAGGAGACTCTCTGGGGCCATGATTTATATTTCATATTTTTCAGATAAAGTTACAAGTCAATGACAAATAGAGAATTTAAAGAATTTTGCGAATTTTCAGTGTATTCATCTCAAGATGCCCAGATCTTACAATAAATATATCTCTTCACTGTTTGAGGAAGAATTTACACTTTTTTTTTCAGGAGAATTCCTGAGCTTTAGTGACCAAACCAAATTCTTGAAGGAGAAAACTAGACAAGTTTCCTGGAGGAAGTAAGTTATCTAATCAGGTGATTTAAATAGACTTTTACCTTGTCCTATTGACAGGAAAGAAATGTCAGGACTAAAGAAAAGAAAATATAATAGCTTCAGAAATAAAAATATGAGACACCTCTACTTTGTAGGTACATCCCCTTTGTAGGTAAAAAGATCAGAAGTTGTAGATACTGTCTCTGGCATCTTCTATACAATGATCTACATTGGGAAGACAGAACAATATGAAGAGAAATGGAATTCAATCCTTGCAATGCGTAAAAATTGAGTCTGGGAAAAGTTTTCTATATGGCAATTTACCAAAACTTATTCAGACTGATTTAATTATGAAATCGGATTATTCTTCCACAAATATCACAAGGGGAAAAACGTTCCCTTAAGTAAAATACTCAAGCTATTGATGCT